ACGTATGTATATACACATTTGCATATGTGCGTGTGTGCTCGCTTGTATATAATACATGCATATACATCTTACGACATACAGTCACAAAGCTTTCTATCTCCACCTTCCTTCTCATCCCCGCCCCCCTTTCCCCTTCCCTTTTCCACCTCTAGAGCACCCAACAACGGTCCCTTCCTCTTCAAGCCTCCCCCAGTCACAAGCAATGCCTCCTTCCGAATCTGGAGGAAGTCTCTCTGTGGTGGCCATTGCAGGCATTGTTGTGGCTGCTCTGATGCTGCCGGTTATTGGCGTGCTACTATGCTGGAGAGGTCTCAAGATCCGCGCAGCACGTGTTGCAGGCAGACATGAGCCTCGAGGCAAGTCTTCTAGAGCAATCATCAGTAGCGAGTAACGAGTTTTCTTATCAGGGAGGAAAATTTGGCCCAAGGCGAACCGAATTTTGCTCCGTAACCTTGTAGAACTCGCTCTTTGCTCGTCCGTCAAACAAATGCTTTTCCAGCTCGCTTTTTTTTGCCCGGCAAGACAGCAAAAGAGGGGTGAGGGGGAAGGAGTGGGGAAGATGGTGGGGGGACATTGCAAATGTAATGTACAGGTTAGACACGTTAACACCTATGTTGGCAGATACGCTGTGTGTGTGGGGGGGGGGGGGGGGGTATCGCGTATATGCGAAATACGTAAATACGCTTGGAAACCGCTAAAATACGTTCGGGCAGCCCGTGGAAAACACACACACACACACACACACACAGACACACGCACAAAAAAAACACTGAACAAGCAGTCGCGACATTTGCGATGTCCGGATTTGTTTGCAATGTCGCGATACATGTTAGGGTTAGACGTCGAACCTCGTGAACCCAAAGTTTGAATTCCACCTCTTCCCCCACCCTCAACCACACACCAACCCGCTCAACCCCCCTGACCCAACCACTCCCCGTTGTTCAACTTACCCTCATCTATAGGTTTATAGCACTTGTGCACTTCCGCAGTTGAGATCTCATTCTGGCGAAAACTAAACGGCGATCTTATTTAGGTAATTGCAACTTAATTTTGTTAAGACATCTAAGCATAAAATCCCTACAGAAGGACATGTCGACCTCCCCATCTCTCCTTCACGAATTGTTTAATCTGCCTGTTAAAAAGTTTCTCCTGTCCGCTCAGTGAATTTTCGCGTATTTCCAGTACTGGAACAAGAGCGTATGGCGTATATACGCTAGCGTATCGTACGCTAGCGTACGATACGCGAAACGCGTATTTGTCAACGTAGGTTAACACCCATCCCTTCCATCCCTCACCATACTTTCACCCCTCACTCCGTTCATGTGAAACCCTCACAGGTTGGGCCCGTAGCATGTCCGGCACTCAATGCACAGAGCACTCTCTTGAAGAAGTTCTCAAAGCCACCAACAATCGGTCCTCGGACAACCAGCTTGGCTCGGGTGCCTTTGGTGACGTGTACAAGGGCGTGTGTCCACACGATGGCACCACCCTGTGGGCCGTCAAGCGAGCCAAATTGATTGATTTGGATTATCAGCAAGAGGTGGTACTGGCTGTTCTCTGGTGGTCGCTTTTTTTTTTTTTTAAGCTGGGGTGAGATGGTTGTAAGGGCCAAGTGTTCATTAGTCGGGAGTATGTTTGTTAAATTGCACGTCATTCCGCCATGGCATGGCTTTTGAATTCCGGTGTCATGGGAAAACCATGTCGTTGACTGATGCTTCGCGCAATCCCATCATGTCATGCTCTTCTTGTAGGTCCAACAAATGGGCGATAAAAACCATCCCAACATTGTGCGGCTGCTTGGGTTTCCCGTTGGAGGGAACATGAGGACACGGCCGGAGCAGGTCTTGATTTACGAGTTTGTTCCCAACGGTGACCTTAACCAGTACATCAGGAACGGTAAGTTCCGTGTACTCTTCTTGGCCAAGCTTTACTTTCCTTATAAACTATATATTAATGGAAATACATTTCTCCGAACGTTTACCTTTCTTGTATATATCTTGTTTTTCAATTGAGATTTGACGAGTAATGAAATTTCTCTCATTTAGCTCGTCATACCAGTTCAAGTTCAACACGTTCACTCCTCACCCCCTCCATCCCTCACCACCACACTCCCGACCATCATCCCTTACATATGAAACCCTTACAGTCTGGGCCCGCAGCATACGGGGCACTCACTGCAGTGAGTACTCCCTGGAGGAAGTCCTCAAAGCCACTAGCAACTGGTCCTCTGATAATCAACTTGCCTCGGGTGCCTTTGGTGACGTGTACAAGGGCGTGTGTCCACACGATGGCACCACTCTGTGGGCCGTCAAGCGAGCCAAATTGATTGACGTGGATCTCCAACGAGAGTTGAGACGGCTCTACATGGGATGCGTGCTTATTAGTTAGGAATATGATTGTTAGATAGCACTTATTTCATCCGCCTTCAACACATGGCATACCTTTTGAAACATTCCAAAAGTTATTCCTCCCCTCCATGGCATGCCTCTCGCATGGAAAAATCATTTCCATTGACAATTGCTTCTCCCTCCATCATGCCATGTTCTTCTCGCAGGTCCAGCAAATGGCCGACAAGAACCATCCCAGCATCGTGCGGCTGCTTGGGTTTGCTGTTGGTGGAGACATGAGGACACGACCGGAGCAAATCCTGATCTACGAGTTTGCTCCCAACGGCGACCTTGACCACTATATCACGAAGGGTACGTGCCACGTTCTTTCTCTTAACCAACCTTTACTGTTCCTATGAACCCTATTTTGATGGAGAGTATTTGCTCCAAACTTTGAACTTAATCTGTACGCGAGTAAACAAGCGGGATAGAATATTGACTTGTTATATTTCACTCGACATTGATGAGTAACAATTGTTCTGTTTCGGTCTAAGGGCTTGTCCTACTTCGGGTCAAGAATACTGTTTGGGTCATCCGAGATTCTTGGATGACCAATGATATTCCAGTAGTGCAGCTGAAATGCACCCTACTGGTCGTCCAAGAATCTCGGATGACATGAGCAGTACTCTTGACCCGAAGTGGGACACGCCCTAATCAATTTTTGTAACCCGTAATGCATATTTTGTGTCACTCGTTGTGTCAGCCAACTTTTGTCTCTCATGATGTGCGATTCATATGTTCTCACTCTCATGTCATCTCCTCTCTTATTATACGCATCTGTCCAGAGGCGTCCTTCACTCTCACCTTCCAGCAGCGGCTGGAAATCCTCATTGGTGCGGCACGTGGCTTCGAGTACCTCCACAGCTTTGGCCTTGTGCATCGCGACATCAAACCTGCCAACATCCTCCTCGGAGAAAAGATGCAGGTAAGCAAGCGAGCACATAAACATGCACCCCGGACAGTAAGGACAAAACAATGCTACTTAGTACATTCTTATAAAGCGATTGTCCACATCAAAGGCACACTGGAAAAGATAAAAAGTTTGGAATAAACATTATCTGCGTCCGAGTTTAGCAATGGAACGACCTGTCCTGGCTGAGGCCGATTACGGCGCCTATTTGAAAAGAATGCATTTGCTTCATTCCGAGCGGTTGTGATTGAACCTCTTCAGCTTGGCGTGGAGAAATTTGGCCGTGAATAGTCACCCAGTGACCAGTGGTCGTAACCAATCGTGTGCTCCAAAATTTGGTTGCGCGAGTACTGGCGTGATTTTTTTCTTCGGCGAACAGCAGCGCGCCATGTGCCGAACTTCCTCTTACCGCGAACAGGCACTAGGGTCGACGTGTGTGAGTTGCCACACTGACAGCTCGCAATCAGCTCGCCAATTTCGTGACCAACGGCACACTCGATTCGCAATTAGGTGCCAGCTCCGTTATCCACTAAATGTCTCAAGGAGCTGGAAGCTTGCCGATGAAATCGCTGTGCGAGCAGCAACGAAACTCACTCCGCGAGCAGAATGCAATGCTGTGATTGGTCCAGAAAAACATCCGAACTTGAACTTGCACCTTGAATGAACATCACCCCGCCATCTTATTGGTCGAAGTTGAGTTCGCCCCTCCCACTCATAACACCACTTTTTTTCTCCATGCCTTGCTCTCATTGGTCGAAACTTGAGGGCTGAACTGACTTCGCCGTCAACTCTCTGATCACCACTATTTCCCCCCGTGTCTCACTCCAATTGACCCGTTCTAGGCTCAATGTTTTAAATATTCGCCACTTGTCTCAGCTGCCATTTAAACGTCTTGATAAGGCGGCGGGTTGACAACCAGGGGTGGCCTGCCTTATACCCCCTCCGTTGAGGGTGCTTTCAGGTCCTCGACCGACACGGATGAAGTCCAAGACGCTGAGACACAAACCAACATGAGCGGTGGGGAACCCAACTGTCGAGCTGCATCTACAATTTCTCCCCAAATGTCAAATCGGGCAGCAAATGCAGCAGCATCTCGACCTACGATTGGCGGATGACTCTGCAAAATCTGCAGAGATCACCACGTGCGATATTGGGATCCTACTTGACTCTCGCCAACCCCCCCTCGCCCGCCACTTCCCCAGAATCATCTGGGACTCCTTCGCCACCTGCCTCCTGACGCCTCTGCTCTTTATATTGCTTGTTTTCCTGGTTTCAATCCTTATACAATCCATCAGGCTAAGATTGCAGACTTTGGGCTGTTGAAGGTGGGGGCGGGCACCACTGCAGGCACAACTCGGGTCATGGGAACACCGGGCTATGTAGATCCCATCTACTCACTCACATCAAAGGCCACCACTGCCACCGATGTCTACAGGTGGGCCACTTTTGAAATGCCTCACAAACAATCTAAGCAACTGCTGCCAGCGATCTCTAAGGTAAGCGAGTGATTGTTGTCGTCTTGTATTTTCAATTTCTGGTTTGTGGGGTACGTGTTTACCCCACAGAACCACCCACCCTTGATAGTGTTCATTCCCTTCCCCCCTCCACCTCCTTCCACTTTGTTGTGCCTTCCCTTCTCACTGTGCGCAGCTTCGGGGTGCTCATGCTTGTAGTGCTCTCTGCTCGCAGTCCCCATACCTCCGATGGTGAAACTAACGGCCACATTCTGCAATGGGTACGTGCTGCTGCTGTGCGTCTTCTTTGTCACTGTGGAACACAGGATCATTTAAAGCACCATTTTTTGGAGACGGGAAGAATGGCCAGATTCTGCAATGGGTCAGTGCTCTGCTTACTGTTGCTTCTATGTGAATGAGTAAGTGCTCGCATCCTGCGCATTAGGTACTTACTCAACAAGCTGCGTGCAGCTCTCCTCCACTCCACCTTCTCCACCTCCAAGCGACTTTTGAAATGTTTAGGAGATGTTGGGTACTTATTCAACACACTGCTGCTCCCGTCCTCCATCTCCACCTGTGACTTTTTCAACGAGCATGGAGCATGGAAATGCACTGCTCCACAAGGAATCAGGCACGAGGTGACAGGGAAGGAGGAGCCGAGTGCAGCGGTCAAAGTGGATGAACAAGCGCGGGAGATGAGAGGTGGGAGAGTTGTTTTGGCTCAAAACGAGGTAACTTCCGAGTCGACTAAATGGAGTGGTACATCATTCAGTACTATGCCTGTATGTGCCCCCTCGTGTTCTTCACTACTCCAGGTGGAAGACTGCATTTCCTCTGACAATCCAGCCCTTCTCAAGGACCCGAGCATGGACGCCCCGGATGATGCTGTGCTGCGCCTGGTGGAGGAGTGCGTTTCCTCTGACAATCCAGCCCCCCTCAAGGACCCGAGCATAGACGCCCCGGAGGCACGATGCTGTGCTGCGCCTGGCCCAGCTGGCTTTGCCCCTGTTCCCAACCCCACCCACCTATCAGGTGGAGGAGTGCATCGCTGCCAGCAACTCTGGTGCCCTCAAGGACCCGAGCATGGACGCCCCGGATGATGCTGTGCTGCGCCTGGCCCAGCTGGCCCTCTCCTGCACCGCCGAGCGCACTGCCAGCCGGCCCGACATGTCGTACGTTGCCAGCGAGCTGCAGGGAATCAGGCACGAGGTGGTGGGGAAGGAGGAGCACAGTGCCGCGGTCAAGGTGGATGAGATGGCAAAGGAGAGGCGGATTGGGATGTCGCTGAGGAAAAGCTTGGGTGCGGAGCTGGAAGCCATTGTGAGCATGGATGAGGAAGAAGAAGAGTCTAATGGGGAGCAAGCAGGCAAGACCATTCAGTGAAAACTGGACTTGGCGGTATAGCTGGGAGCTATTGTGAGCAGGGATGACGAGTCTCATTTAGGTTGTTGAATACTGACCTAGCGATGGGAATACTGATCTAGTGATGGGAGCATTGGGGGGCAAGCAGGCAAGTTTATTCAGTGAAGTCTGGGCTTGGCGGTACAGCTGGGAGCTACTAGGAGCATGAATGAAGAGGATTCAAGTGGGGATCAATCGGGTTGATGAATACTGATCTAGCAATGGGGAGCAGTGGGGAGCAGTGGGAAGCAGTGGGGAAAAGTGGGGAGCAATTGTGAACAGTGGGGAGCAATGGGGAGCATTGGGGAGCAATGAGGAGCAGTGGGGATGCAGTGTTGGAAATCTATTACGAGCATGGATGAAATGGACTCCCAATGGGGAGCAATCGGGTTTACTGTATGAACACTGGTCTAACAATGAGGAGCAGTGGGGAGCCGTGCGGAGGAGCAACCAGGTAACTGAGTACTGATCTTCGATTGGGTACTAATCTTGACTGATAAAGCAATGAGGAGAAGTGGAGAGGGACCTGTGGGGAGGAGCAACCAGGTAACTGAGTACTGACCTTGGCTCAGGCAAGTCTAGATGGCTGCAGTGCTGGAAGCTACAGGGGGAATGGATGGAGGTGGGTCAAACAGGGAGCGATTGGGTGGAATGAAAAGATCTACAGTAGCAACAGGTACAGTAGCAGAGCAAAAGCAATTGAGAATTCACTGATCCAGTCTCCCATCGTTAATCTGAGCACAGATTGGCTTGAAAACCTGCAAAGGTGTCTCTGTATTTTGATGAGTGAAAAGTTGCCAGTCTTGATGTCCGTGTTTATTTTATTAATCTCTCAAAAGCAGCGTTCGTCACTTGAGCAAGCGTACCATAATAAGCATGTGACTTCAGCAACGTGTCACTCACGTACACCTTGCAGGTTTGGTAAATTGCTAGTGAACCGTTTTGTTGAACTACTTTGTTAAACTGCCTGTCATGGTCATACACTAGTATGATCGGTGCGAACATAAACAGTGCTACACACACACCAAGGAGGTCAACCTCCTTAATCCTCATTACCGAAAAAATACCGCCTTCTCTCTCCTGTCGTACTAGTACGTGCCTGCATGCCTGACAGCCTTAACAATTCTGCAGAACCTCCATCATCTTTTGAGACATCTCAAGAATCAACTTCTTTGACCTCCCTAACCAACTCCATCATCACTAATAACTTTGCCCACTATCTTCTGCGCGGCCTGACTCCCTCCGCTTGCCTTTGACAGTGCCACCGTGATCCTTCAGATGTATGTGTGCCCTGCTAGGGGATATGCAGGGACACACACACGCCATCACATGCATGCAACCCACCACCCCCTCCCACCCCCCAAACACACACACACACACACACACCCACACACACACACACACGCACACACACATATCCCACACCACACAAATTAGGGTCACTTAAATACATTTGGGGTCACATTTTCAATTTTTCAATAACCTTGTTTAGTGCAGTTGAGAACGGTGCAAGCAACCAAGAAAAGGGGTGAGTACACAAAAAGGGGCAGGGGCGACTTGTGACAGAGGAGAGAGTGATTGAATTGAAGGGCGTTTGAGGCGGTGCAAAAGCCAGAAAAATAAGAGCACTCACAAAGGGACAAGGGCCGCTTGTGACAGTGGGGAGAGTGCGTCAAGTGAAAGGATCATTTAGCGGTATCAGACTGTTTGGGGAGAGAATGTGAGGCAGGAACAGAGAGAAAGGGTACAAAGGAAGCTGCTTGTGAGAGCATGAATGCACGGTACGGTGCCATGGCGGCGTGGCATGTGGGCACAACAAGATAACATGAAATTATGGTACGACATGGTGAACCGTGAAACAAGCAGGATTCACCTCTTCTCTTTTTGAAGCAGCGCCAACACTAGCACCACCAGCGGCAGCAGCACCACTAGCACTAGACATGACCCTTTGCTCTGCTGCACTGACAGCAGCATGTGTTGATGCGGATGTGACATAGTATGCTGACATGCAAAGCTGGATGAGTGCAGGGAGGGTGCCAGCTGGTGGAGAAGGGGAAAGAGGATGGGAAGGCAAGAGAAAGAAGGTGAGAGTTCTCCCTCATCTGCGCCGACAGCACCACCAGCAGCAGCAACAGCACCATGTGTTGATGCGGATGTGACAAGGTGAATTTTGAGTCGAGGTGACCTTTGAGTCGACTCAAAAGTCACCTTGAGTCGACTCAAAAGTCACCTTGAGTCGACTCAAAAGTCACCTTGAGTCGACTCAAAAGTCACCTCGGATGTGACCTGCAGAGCTGGATGAGTGCAGTGAGGGTGCCGGCTGGTGGGGAGGAGGGCGGAGGAGGGAGGGCAAGGGGGAGAGGTGGGAGGTCTTCCCTTGGCTCTAGCAGCAATTGCCCAGCAAAAAAGCGAATGTGATTCGGAATGTGGACATGCAGTGCAATGGATGTGTGCAGGGACGGTAGTATGTAGGTGTCTTTTGAGTCGACTCAACAGTCACCTCGTTATGTGGACATGCAGTGCAATGGATGTGTGCAGGGACGGGAGCATGTAGGTGTCGGCTAGTGGAGAGGCTTGGAGGGTGGACAGGAGAGGGGACGAGAGGAAGAGGTTAGAAAGAGAAGAGCAAGGGAAACACGATCACGGGAGAGAGGATGGAGAGGGGTGAGGGAGAGGAGTGAGAGAGACGAGCAAGGGAGACTGCAGGCACTGACCTCCCATTCCTGCACCTGCAGGCTCCTGCAGCAGGAACTACCGAATTTTCAGGAGCCTCAAGCATTCACTTATGCCTTGCAGATTCGTATAGGCGCCTCACAGAATCATGGGACAGCAGGCAGGCACTCACCTCCCATTCCTGCACCACCAGCCACTGCCATTTTTTGAGGCGCCTTAGAAATATATTGTTCCAATCACCAAGACAAATCGGGGAGCACTATACCATTGTCTCCGAATGAGGAGAACAGCAGCTTTTGAGTCGACTCAAAAAACTAAATTGAGGAGGACTGTATCCAAATGAGGGGGGCAGCAGGCATGAGCTCACCTCCCACTCCTGCACCTGCTGCTGCAGCCACTGCCACTGGCGGAACCTGAGGGGGCAGAGCGAGCAGTGTGGGGGGAGGAACAGAGGAGAGGGAATGGAGGGAGAGAAGATGGAAAATCAAAGGGGGGAGAGGTAAAGGAGGATAGGGAGTGGATGAGGAGACGAGTGGAAAGGAGAGGAAAGGGAGGGGTTGACGGGGAGAGGAGAGAGAAGGGCGGAGCAGAGAAGGGGAAAGGAGAGAGAATGGAGGAAAAGAGAAGCGAAACGGAGAGAATAAGGGAGGAGTAGAGACGAGAAAGGAGCAGTACGACATAGGGGGAGAGAGAAGATTTTTGGAAAGATGGACAGACAGGCCAGTCAGATTTCCCACTCACCCCTCCACACTCACCCCTCCACTCTCACCCCTCAACTCTCAGGCCACCCAACACAACTCTCACCCCTCCACTCTCACACAACCCTCACCCCTCCACTCTCGCACCACTCTCACCCCTCCACTCTCGCACCACTCTCACCCCTCCACTCTCACACCACTCTCACCCCTCCACTCTCACACCACTCTCACCCCTCCAATCTCACACCACTCTCACCCCTCCACTCTCGCACCACTCTCATCACCCCTTCCCTCTCACCCCCAATAGGTATTGCAGTCCCCTGGATCTGGGAATGCGCTTGCCCAGCCGCGGCATCACTGCTTGATCACAAAGGGGGGAGCCAGGGGGGAAGAGCGGAGCCAGGGGGAAGGGCGGACGGAGTCAGGGGGAGTGGGGGGGTGGATAAGGGGAGTAGAGTAAGTCGTGTCCCGCTACCCAACCTGGGCTGGGTTGAAACTTGAATCTCAGCCATGGCTGTGGCATGGCAAGTTGGTGTTTTGGAATTTTTGGAAGCCAATTTGTCTCAGCCATAGGTATGGCAAGGATGTGCTTGCCCGGCAGGGGACGAGGCATCACTACGTGATCACAAAGAGGAAGCTGGGCGAGAGGGGGGAGATGATGTGGGTAAGAGGGGGGAGGGAGTCGAGTCAACTCAGCTTGAGCCGAGCTCTCAGCCATGGCTGTGGCTGTGGCTGTGGCAGTGGCATGGCAAGTCGGTGTTTTGGAATTCTCGCAAACCAAATTGTCCCAGCCATGGCTGTGGCAAGGATGTGCTTGCCCGGCTGAGGACGAGGCATCACCGCTTGTTGCAAGGTGGGGCTTGGGGGGAAGGGGGTGGGTAAGGGGGGAAGTCGCGTCAACTCAGCATGGGATGGGCTGAATCCAACGTAGCTTTAGCTGTGGCATTAATGCGCTTGCCCGGCCGAGGACGAGGTGACTGTTGAGTCGACTCAAAAGTCACCTTGGATGCGCTTGCCCAGCTGAGGACGAGGCATCACTGCTTGATAACAAGGGGGAGCCAGACAGGAGGGAAGAGGACGGGTTGGGAGGGTGAGACGACTCAAAGTGCATTTTGTTCCCCGGGCATGACAGCACTGCTTGACAGCTCCTAAAAGCGGTGCCTTTAGAGTTGACTCAAAAGTCACCAAGTGAGACGACGACTCAGAGTGCACGGTTCCCCGGGCATGACAGCACTGCGTGACAGCTCCTAAAAGCTCGCAACCAGGGAGACATGGGGATGAGGAAGGAATTGCCACCACCACCAGGACAGGACAGAGGGACATTAGCCCTTTCAGGTACAGGAGGAATCACCTGCGTTGAAAGCGTAGACGGACGCAATGGTTCCTCCCATGGCCGTGCCTAGCTGATGGGGGTGCAGTGCAGAGGAGAGTGGCGGATGGGTGTGAAGTACATCTAGCAGGCAGCACGCAAGCAAGCAAGCAAGCATGTATGTATGTATGTATGTATGTATGTATGTATGTATGTATGTATGTATGTATGTATGTATGTATGTATGTATGTATGTATGTATAGTGTGATGTGGATGCGATGGTTCCTCCCATGGCTGTGCCGAGCAGATGGGGGGGCTGAGGTAGACAGGCAGGCAAGAGGCACGATGGACGAGGGGTGGGGGGTGGGGAGAAAGCAGGCACGACTTCAGACGGAGGTTGTACTAACTTTAGAGTCAGCATGTGCCATGCGCCATAAGCCATGTGCCATACATACGCCATGCGCCATAAGCCATGCGCCATACGCCATGTGCCATGCGCCATAAGCCATGTGCCATGCGCCATAAGCCATGTGCCATGCGCCATAGGCCATGTGCCATGCGCCATGCACCAAGGCCGTGACTGTGACCATCCCTCCCCCTTGACCCTCCCCCTCCTTCCCCCTTCCTCCCTTCTCCCCCCATTTTCTCTCCCCCCTCCCCTCCCTCCACCCCACCCTCCCCATCTCACCGTGGCAAGGCTATCCCGCATGAAAGGCGCCATGCGCCATCCCCCTCCACTTATCCCTGCGCCTCCCCCCGCTCCGCCTCCCCCTCCTGTGAGCGCGGAAGGCCCCCCATGGCCTGGGTTGTTTGCTGCTGCGCCATCTGCGCCTGTTGCGCGGGACTGGGTGATTGAAGTGGCGAAATGACAAGGGACGATGATTGGGAAAGCATGATGCGAGGGAGAGGAGAGACGGGGGGAGAAGGTGGAATGAAGTGGAAGACGGTGAAGAAAGGCGAAACAAGGCGAAGAAAGGCGAAGAAACGCGAGGGAACGAGAAAAGAAGAGCTTACTGTCCGCTGCGGGATTGATATCGGCGCGGCGCATTGCGGGCAGCGCAAGGTGACGGAGGCGGAAGAGGCGAGCGGCGGCGGAACGAAGGCCGCTGAAGGGTCCCGCGCAACGAGGTGGCGCATGCGGTCCTCGGGGGAACTGACCCCCGCCATGTGCGCACACCGAGATGGGGAGTGGGGAATGCCCGGGCGTAGGCGGGAGGAGACTGGTTGAACGGATGCGCGAATCGCGGCGGTGGCTCGGGAGAAGAAGGACGTGCCGCTACTAAGCCTCCCTCAGTCGCCGTTGTGGACTATCTACAAAACAAGAGATGGATTTCTGGAGTATAGGGCGCAGCAAAAATGGATGCAAACTTCGTAACGTCCTCAAAATACCATAGCGAGGACATTCGATGGTTTATCGGATCCGTGTGGGCCTGTAACATGTGCGAATCGATGTAGAATTTCACAGCTTTCGCCCTTCCAGGCCAAATCAAGCTTGCTACAGAGTGAAAGGGAATGTCCGCTATAATACTAGTGTAGCTTTTTGATAAAGCTCAAAGAACAATTTGCATCCTGCAATAGTCCAAAACAATACAGCAAACCACACCAAAAAGAATGGCAGATCGCATGCCTACTATACAGCCAACAGCATGCATCGGCTCAACTGAAGCATCACACAAAAATAGCAAAATTTTGCAGCCATATGGTTTCGCCACAGCAACTCATGAACAGAGTCGCAATGGCTGTGCCAGCATTAGCACTCGACCCGCAACCGCAGCAGCAATAGACACTTGAACTTTGACCCATCCTCAACAAGCTGACTCCATTAGGCTGACGAGGCAACAAAGTTGGTTGTAAGGTGAGCTCCACTGGAGCAGCTCCTCTGAAGTGCCACCATGCTTGCACTTGCACTTGCACTCGCACTCCCACCCACACTCGCCATGGAACGCTCACAGTTCGACCCATCATCTTTCTTCTTCTCCACACGTCCGCCACCTGATCCCAAGCCACCCATCACTGCCGCAACACCAGAGGGCAGTGTACCCTCTACAGGAGCAGTAAAAGCAACCGCAGCATTAACAGCACTAGCAGCACTGGCAGCACCAGCAGCATCAGATGCACTGGCAGCACCAGCTACACTGGGAGCACCAGCAGCAAAGGCAGCACCAGCACTATCCCTAGACTGCTCCCCGGACGACAGCTCCCTGTCATCGCCGCCGATGACTTCAACAACCTTGCTCGATGTGCCATTGTCGAACTGCTCCCCTGTCATCCGCTCCTCTGAAGCGAGCTTCTCGTTCGACGGCTCCTCTGAAAGGTGCTCCTTGTTCGACGGCTCCCCTATCGACGGCTCCTCTGAAACGCGCTCCCCGTTTGACGGCTCCCCTATCGACGGATCCTCTCAAATGCGTGAGAAATAACGAGGAATGAATGGACTAGGAAAGTGTATGATACAAATAACAAACCCTAGAAACCTGTACCCCTTAGTCTCTACCCCACTAGACCCTACAAACACTATGTCATATATATCTGACACACCCCCATAGGCAAAGTGGGGGAGAACTAGGGGTCACAAGACCAGTCAAGCAAAGCAAAGCAAAGAAAGCTTAGGGTGGATCACAATGTCACCACACATTTAGAGCACCAGTTCAAGGCCACAAGGCCAGTTCACATGCAGGATTATATATAAAGGTAAACAAGCAAGTGCAGGTGTAGATAGATCACAGTACAAACAAGGTCAAGAAGTGAGCAAGTGAGGCCAAGTAGACACAAGACCTAGCATCGTACAAAAGTGCTGATGATCACAAGGCTGAAGTGCCTTGGTATCAGCAGTGTTGGACTCAGAGGCCACGTAAGCAAGGCGCAGCTGACCACGCTGCTGCAGCTCACGAGCAAGGAAGTAGCAAAGAGCAATGTGCTTCGTTCTGTGCTCCAGTCTGTGCTCCCGACACAAGGCCAGCATGGCCTTGTTGTCTACGTACAGCACTGGAGGAGAACGAGGCGGCTCTCCTAGGTCAGTCAGCAGGTAGGTGAGCTAGCGTAACTCATGTGCAACCATGGCCCCTGCGTAGATCTCAGCCTCACAGCTGGAGCCGAGAACAGAAGACGAGCGGGTAGACCGCCACGAAACAGAGCCGGAACCAAGGCTGAAGGTGTAACCATGTGACAACCGCTGCGTAGCCTGGTCGTCAGCCCAAGAAGCGTCTGCATGACCAGTGAGGACCACAGGACTCCGCCCTCCAAGCACGAGCCCCATGCCCGACGTACTGCACAAGTAGCGCAACACCCTCTACGCTGCAGCCATGTGCTCTGGTCGGTGTCTCCCAGGAGCAACATAGCGTGCCAAGATGCTAAGAGGGTATGCAAGGTCAGGTCAAGTGCAGGTCATCACGTACATGAGGCAGCCAACAAGCTCTGGGTACGGGCCACTCGGCTCTACGGACTCATCTGAAGGCAGAGCTGAGAGCGAGTGGCGAGTAGACAGAGGAGTGGCCTGAGGCGAGGAGTACGTGAAGTCGAAGCGCTGAAGGACCTGCTGTACCATGTGTGAATGAGTCAGAATAATGGTCCGCCGTGCTCTGTCCCGGGTGATCTGCAAGCGAAGGTAGCTGTGCAGTTCACCCAGGTCTGTGCACGTGTGTCTCTTCTGCAGCTCGGACTTCACGTGGGCGAGTCCAGCAGTGTCAGCAGTAGCAAAGACCAAGTCGTCGACATACACGAGGATGTAGAACGGCGGCAAAGAAGTGTCGGTGCTTAGAAACAGCGACGGGTCGGCAGTAGAAGGAGCAAACCCAAGAGCCGCAAGTGTAGTCCTCAGTGTGTCGTGCCACTCACGGGGCGCCTGGCAGAGACCGTAGATTGGCCGCCGAAGGCTCCACTGGGTACCAGAAGGAAACGACCCAGTGAAGCCAGGTGGGTGGCGCAGCCAGATCTCCTCGTGCAGGCTGCCCTGCAGGAAAGCTGTGCTGAAGTCAAGAGATTGAAGCTCGTAGTCGCGCTGAGCGGCTATGTGCAGCAACACCCAAAGAGTGGTCATCTTTGGGGTGGGAGAGAAGGTCTGAAAGTAGTCAACTCCCTGCCGCTGACTGAAGCCTCAAGCAACGTAACACGCCTTGAAGACAGGCGGAGAACCCGGCAGCCGCTTCACCCTGAAAATCAACATGCCACTGACGATGTTCGCCCCAGGTGGGGGAACCTCGTCGACGTAGGTGCCTGTGGACTTCCAGGAGGCCATCTCTGTGTCCATGGCTAACTGCCACTGAGAGGAGTAGGGACCCTCTATCGCCTCTGCGTTAGAGCGCGGAGTCGGGATGTTCGGTGCATCCGGGTCTCCCTCATGTGGAATTAGCATGGACACGAGATGAGGTAAAGCAGCAGCAAAACACTGGAACTCCTCCTGCCTGTCCTCAAGGACGTCCGTGCTATGAGCACACTCACCCTCGACGGACGGAGGACAGACAGACCCAGACTCGGCAAAAAGACTAGCGGCGTAGTCTAGACGACAGTGAGCAGCGAAGTCGACAAGCTCAGCAACTAAGGCAGACGCAGCAGTGGACTCAAAGGAATGGTCAATGACAGCTGTAGCCAAGAGACGCGTGACAGTAGGACTGGTAGCACGAAGAGAGTCAGACTCTGGGTCAGCAAGAGCAAGAAGAGAGGACTCTGGAGGAGACGGCAAAGGGACATGCAGTGGAGCAGTGGAAGGACGCAGTGCCATCTGGTGCGTGCCAAGGACCGCAGGACGACGCTGACGTTGAACACGACGACTAGTGCGAGCAGCACGAACAGGCGAAGCAGGACGAGACGCAAGCTCATCACGCTTAGCAAGACCTCTAGTAGGACCAGTGTAGGGAGGAGTAGCAGGCAGCGGGGAGGCGGGCTGTAACTGTGACTCGGACTGGAGAGGCAGTGGACACTCTATGGAAGGAGCAGGACATGTAGAGGGCAGAAGACCAAGAACTTGTTCAAGGAGCAGAACGAAGTACGGCCGCCGCCGCTTAGCACCTCCATAATCAGTAGGGACAGGACCAGCACCCCCAGGGTTGGCCACGACTCCACCAGCTCCACCGGCTCCAGGAGCAGCTACTCCAGCACCCACAGGAGCACCGGCAATAGCAGCACCGCCAGCTCCAGCACCTCAAGCAGCTCCAGCTCCAGCAGGAACACCGGAAGACCCAACAGCCCCAGCTCTAACACCTCCAGTAGCACCTACTCCAGTAGCACCGCCAGCTCCAGCACCGCCAGCTCCAGCACCGCCACGAGCTCCAGCACCAGGAGCACCCCCAGGCCCAGCAGCTCCAATACCTTTAGTACGAGCACCTCCAGAGCCGTGGCGTCAGCACCCTCAGCAGCAGTAGAACCTCCAGCCCCAGCGGCACCTCCAGCTCCAGCAGAACGGGTCCAGCCCCGAGAAAACCACTCACGTAGCTCCTATGGAGAGGGTAGGTCCCGCCGGGACGAACCACCCGAAGGACCTCCAGACCCAGCACCGCCTGACTCCACACGAGCAGGCCCAGTACCCCGAGGCTCCGCACCCCCAGTCGCAGCACCCCCAGGCTCAGCACCCCCAGACTCAGCACCCCCAGACTCAGCACCCCCAGACTCAGCACGCGCAGGCTCAGCACCCCCAGACTCCGCACCCGCAGGCTCAGCACCCCTAGCAGCACCAGAGTCAACAGCTACCTCGACAGGCTCGACTGTGTCTACTTGAGACACACCTGAAGGGGCAGAACCCTGAGGGGGAAGGGGGTCTACCGGGGGAGGACCTGGCGCGAGGAAGAGCGGCGGCAGGGGGAGGGGGGTAGTGCGGTAGGGGAAGAGACGGTAGTAAGGAACCGACTCGTCAAACGTGAAGTCCTGGGAGGACAGCACACGGCGCGAGGTGGGGTGGTAAAACTGCCAACTAGGCGCGTTAGGGGGGAAGCCAAGGAAGATGCAGGGAAAAGCGCGGGGGGACAGCTTGTGCGCAGACAAGTCGCGGACAAAAGCTCGAGATTCCCAGACACGGAACGCAGACGCATCGCCAACCTTCCCCGTCCACCGCAGAGTAGGGGAGGTCTCTGGCAAGGAGACCCGGGGCTGAAGGTTGATGTGATGTGCCGCGTACTGAACCGCGAACGGCCACAGAAAATGGGGAGCAGCCGTATGGATCATGGACCTACGAGCGACGTCCATGACCATACCAATGTGGCGCTCAGCAATCCCATTTTGTCGTGGAGGGGCCGGAAGTGTGAAGGTCTAGCGGCTGCCCTGTGCACGACAGAAGGCCTGTAGAAGGTCAGAGGAAAACTCTTCGCCTCTGTCAGAGTGCAGACGCAGGACACGAAAGTCCGAGCCGAAACTCTCTCGGAGCTGGAGACGAGCTGCGCGGATCCAGTCGATCAACACCTCTGTGACCTCACCCTTGCTGCGCAAGGGGAAGAATGAGGTGTAACGTGAGTAGTCCTCAACCACCAGCAGGAAGTAACGCTCGTGACCCTGTCCACGGATGCGGGCGGGGCCCCACACGTTCAGGTGAAGCGTCTGCAGCGGAGCCTTTGTCGGAGGAAACTCAGAGGAGTGAGGAGTTGCGCGCTGCCGCCCCTCGACGCAGAGAACGTAGGTAGGGGCAGGCCCTGGAGGAAGAGGAGGGAGGGACCGGGGGAGACCAGAGACAAGGAAACAAGAGGCCATGCCTCGGAGACGAGGCAGGGAGGGGTGACCAAGGCGGTGGTGCCAGAGGAGAGTCTGGTGAGACAGGAGATGATACAAGCAGGGGGCAGACTCAGGACCAGACCTGGATGCTGCAGCAAACACCTGACCCGACGCAGCCACCTGACCAGACTCAGCAGCCGGAGGAGACTCAATAATCAGTGTGTACAGGCTCGTCCCCAGCTGACGGGTAAACGTGACCAAGTGTCGGCCCGTCCGAGAAAACGTACAGTGGGTCACTCGCTGACTCGCAAGAGTGAACAGGTCAACCCCCCCATCCAGTAGGTCAGCACCACTCACCAGGTTCGTAGAGAACGAGGGGAGGTAAAGACCTGACAGGGTGCCAGAAGGGGCCGCCGGACACGGTAAGACAGTGGAGAAGTGGGCAAGGACAGGACCCCTAGAGGGGTCTGCCAGCGAGACTTCGACCGGCTGACTAAGCGGCGTGAGTGTGGTGCGGTCTCGAAAGAAGGAGCGGGAAGCACCCGAGTCAAGGGTGAAAGTGTGCAAAGCCTGAGCCGACGTGGTACCTGAGAGAGCAGACTCACCAGCACCTGGGGCAGTAGACTCACCAGCACCTGGGGCAGCAGCCTCACCAGTACCTAGAGCAGCAGCCTCAATGCCCGGGTCAGGCGGAACACACAGGTAACAGTCACCCTCATCACTAGTAGACACAACATACATGGCAGCAAGAATAGCATCATAATCAAGATCAAAGATAGCAACCCCCGACCTAAGCAGCTCGCCCCAGCGAGGGATCTCAGTGGCGTCACCAGGGAACTGGAGACGCCAGGCGTCCGTCAGGCGGCCGAAGCAGCGCTGGGTGGTGTGCGGGCCACCGCATGGCTCACCAGTGCGGTCGCCGACACGCTAGACGTAGGCACAGGGGCCAGCACCCCCACCCTACTGACGCGCAGCGTACCACTCACAAAGCTGCTGGGGGGGCGGGGTCTCACAAGTGCGCTGCTGCTGCTGGCGGTGACCACCACCGAAGCCGCCCCGCTGCACAGAGCCACCCCGACCAGCTCCACCGCCGCCGCCGCCACCGCCGCCACCGCCGCCTCCTCCGCTTCCACCGCCACTGCCGCCGCCGCCTCCGCCTCCACCGCCACCACCGAAGGCCCCACCCCCGCCACCACTCCCACCGCCACCCCCACCCCCTCCGCCGCCTCCACCACCACCTCCACCGCCACCTCCATTGCCCCCGCTAGCTCCTCCAGCGCCCTTGCCCCCCTTGTCCTTTCCGCTGCGGCGTCTCCCGCTAGGGGCAGATGCAGCGCCGATCGACTCGGTGCCAACGAGGTCGACCGCAGCAGAAGAGGCAACAGGGGGCAAAAGGGGGGAGGGGGAGCACCCCTCAAAGAAGGGGGCACGAGGGTCACCACGAGAGGCTCCTACAGCGACTATACTCTTCTCAGCTGCCAGGAGGCGCTCCTCGAGGAGGTCAACGGTGAGGGTGGTGGGGCAAACAGAGAGGAAGTGGTCCCTATCCGAGCGAAGGGAGTCAGGGAGTCGGGTGACTAGGTAGTAGAGGGTGATGTACATGGGGGGGGGGGGGGGGGGGGGGGGGGGTTCTTGGCGCAGAACTCAGCAAGAAGCGCAGCGCGGTAGCGGGTGTCACTAGTGCGAAGGTGCGTAATGAGGTCAGCGACTCTGGGAAAGGCGGCGAGGTCAGGGAAGAGGTACGGCAGCATGAGGCGACTAAGGGCAGCAGTGGCAGGGGAAGAGTAGCGGACAACTACAGCGTCGTACAAGGTCTTAGCACTCTTGTACTGACTAAAGTGCGCGCGCTCAGTGGACGGCAAGTGACTACGCACAGCAAGACGGGCAGCAGCATCGCGTGTGGCCCACTGTGAGCGAACAGTACTGTGAGTATCGGCAGCAGGGGCAGCAGAGGCGCCAGACGTGAGATCGAATAGTGAGAGACCATCTTTTCTATCGCACTGCAGGAAAAGCTGCAGATCATCGACCAAGACCTCAAAGTCGACAGCCCGACCCTCAGCATCAAAGGTGAGAACATTGGGGGTAGCCATGACAGCAGCAGCAGCAGCAGCAGGCTAGCAGCAGTAGCAGCAAGAGGGGCGTGGCTCAGCGATGCTCTTACCAGGGGCGGGTGGGTAGAGGTCCGCAAGTGGTGGGGCAAGGCCGAGGTGCGCCGGCAAGAACAGGGCCGCGACAGGGCGGCAGAGGAGGGCCGCGCCTTGGCTGCAGGGTAGGGCCGGGACGGCGGCGGCGGCTGTCACGGCAGTGGCAGCGGCGGTTGTCTCAGCAGGAGCGCTGGCGGCTGTCACTGCAGCAGCAGCGGCGGCGACCAGCTGTGGAGGAAGCAGCAGCAACAGCAGGCACGACGGCAGTTGCTGCTGGGGCGGCGACGACGGGGTGGCAGGGCCGTGAAGAGCCGGGGAGGGGCTGCTAAGGGGCCGCGACGAGCCGCGAAAGGGGCCGCGGAGGGGCTGTGAAGGAGCCGCAAAGGGCCGCGACGGGCCGCGGAGGGGCCGTGAAGGGGCCGAGAAGGGCGGCGAAGGGGCCGAGGAGGGGCCGCAAGGGGCCGCGAAGGGGCCAAACAGGGGCCGCGAGGGGCCAAGAAGGGGCCGCGAAGGGGCTGCAAAGGGCCGTGAGAGGGGCCATGAAGGGCCGCAAAGGGGCCGCGAAGGGGGGGCAGGCGCACGGGGCGCGACTAGGGCAGGCGCAAAGCGCGCTCCGGGCATGTAAGGAAAAAAAAAAAAAAATCGTTTTAGTGGTGGGCCCTAGGAAACGTTCCCACTAGGGAACCTGCTCTATGTCATATAAAATAACGAGGAATAAATGGACTAGGAAAGTGTGTGATACAAAAATCAAACCCTAGAAACCTGTACCCCTTAATGTCTAGCCCACTAGAGCCTACAAACACTATGTCATATATATCTGACAACGCGCTCCCCGTTTGACGACTCCTCGTTTGAAGACTCCCCGTTTGAAACGCACTTCCGGTTCGACGTCTTCCTTGTTGGCGAATACTTCTCTCCAACGCCGACTTGCTCGCCGATCAGGTCACGTTGACCGCCAGCGATGCCGATGGGCGGAGCCGAAGGTGACGCAAGAATGCCCTTCTCATCGCTGGCGGTCGACGTCGATGCCGACTTAGGCAGCCTGGCGGCGAGCGATGGGAGGGAGGCGGGAAGAGGTGGCGGAGCGTTCGAGGAGGACGGAATAAAGGGAGCGGGATCGTCTGACGGACCGACGTCCTCGACGGCGAGCACCTCAATCGCCGCAGGCGATGGGCCCGTTAGCGGAGAAACCTTCGTCCGCTCCGACGACGGCCCATGCTCCGCCTTCCACTCCTCTAGAGACATCGTCTCGTAGAGGTAATCAAGGCGTGATAGAGGGTAGGCCTATCAAAGATTTCGTGCCACCCCTCTGAAATGTGTGGTTCGCAAAAGTTTAGATTCAGACCAGCCCTCAATATGGTATGACTCGTCACACATCAACAAGATTACTCTGAAAATTAGACATCGCAAATATAACTCGTTTGAGAATCAGACTTGGAAAAACAGAATATTCAGAAATTAAGACTAGGCTCTAAAAATTGGTCAGAATATCAGAAAATCATACCATTACGGTCCGGAAAAATAGGCCCTGCCGGTGATCTTGCGATTGGAGCGGGGCCGACTCGGGAGTGGTTTGGATGAGAAATTGTAGGCTGGACGTGAGGGTCGTGTGGCCCTTGGGATGTACTCACTACAGGGCGAGTACAGCAAGGAATTGTAATTTCTTACAACGGCACTGTCAAAAATTTTAGATATGTACCTGCGACATAACTAGTGTAGCTATTACTGTTACACCTGTTTTCTGGCCCTTAGATCCCTATCGAAACCCTCTTCTTCCTCGTACTTCTCGATTTCGCTACCTTACTAGCCTCCTATTCTCCTATATCCTATTTCAATAGATAATCAAACACGAAAATGAGATGCAACTAAGGAGAAAGGAGATTATGATGCCTAAAATACACTTCTTGGGAGAATGATGTATTTTGCTAGTCAAGAAGCATAGTATTGTAACATATATATTTGAAAAAAAAAATTACTTGCCCTCTGATAAGTTCGGATGAAATTTGGACGTTACAAGGCCGAATACAGGTCTACATGCGTCAATGCTGCTTCAAGTGATGCTTCAAATGATACCTGATTGCTCCCCAGTAGACTCTTCCTCCATGCTCTTAATAGCTTCCAACATTGCAGCCAAGTTATTCGGATACGACGTTCCACTTTGCACCCCCTCTGCTTGCTCATCCACCTTTACCGCTGCACTCAGCACCTCCTTCCCCACCACCTCGTGCCTGATTCCCTGCAGCTCGTTGGCAATGGTGGCCATGCTGGGCCGGCTTGCAGTGCACTGCACAGTGCAGCGCAGAGCCAGCTGGGCCAGGCGCAGCACAGCATCATCCGGGGCGTCCATGTCCTGGTCCTTGAGGAGGGTGGGGTTGTTGGACGAAACGCAATCCTCCACCTGACGGGTTGAACAAGGGGGGTGGGGATTGGGGCAGGTACATCGAATGGCGCAGCACAGCATCATCAAACTTGTCCATGCTGAGGTCCAGTCAGATTGAGTTGAGAAACAAGAGGCAGACTGGGTCGTTGGAGGATGTTTAGTTGAGTTGAGCAACACGAGGGCACACCTAATGCATGCGTACACCTGAGGTGCATAGTTGGCAAGAAGAGTTTGTGGGACGACAGGAGGGTAGCTGAGGCATACCTACACCAGACAGATTGAACAATGTGGGTGCGGATGGGGACAGTCAGGCACAAAAGTGTCAGTAGATCTGCACTGTGGATGCCCGATTGATCCTGGAGAGGGTTACAGGCGCGTTCGCCTGGGGGGTTATGGGCGCACTCACCCGCTACTGAAACAAGCCCTTTTATCCCAATGGTCTAGTGGTTGGGATTCTGACAAGAAGTGCCAACATGCAATCATGCGATGATGCCATCCTGCTATCATCTTCATCGTGCCACCAACTTGCCTGGCTGAAAGCAGCAAGTGCTGTGCTTTGCGGAGACTAATGGAGTATTTTACACTACAACCTTGCTATTGCATACTTGCCACGAAGCAGAAACACCTCCCTAGTGCAGGTCGTGGTTGTGCGAGCTAACGACAGAGCCAACTTGGAAGTCACTATGTGTGCTGCACATAAAGCAGCAATGCGGAGACCATGAGTGTTCGTGCCACCCACTTAGGCAGAGTGCTGCTGCTTGTGAACCGACCGCACCTGCCACAGTGACATCTCACATCTAAGCAATGCAACATACCCTACCACACCGCACACGAAGTAGCAGCACCTACCCATCGCAGAATGTGGCCGTTCTTTTCACCCTCGGAAGAACGGGGGCCGCGACCGGTGATCACCACAAGCATGAGCACACCAAAGCTGCACACACAATGAAGGGAGGAGGGTAGCAAGCAACGCACAAGGATTTGCTGTGTTGTGAGTGCTTCAGCAACCACGAGCATGAGCAAAGCAAGCAAGCACTTAATGAGCACAACGAGCGCAAGCATCAGCAAAATGTCACGCATTGACCTACGTCTATTTTTTTAGGCACATAATAGCTGCCTCATCAAGAGAGCGATGTCTAACAGTTGAGAAAATGTTCACCTGCTCCTAGTCCTATTTCACCTAATGACAAAAGTACCTCACATGTACACATCGGTGGCAGTGGTGGCCTTGGACGTGCGTGAGTAGATGGGATCCACATAGCCCGGTGTTCCCATAACCCGAGTCGTGCCCACTGTGGTGCCCTCGCCCACCCTCAACAGCCCAAAGTCACCGATCTTGGCCTGTCGGATGATGTAATAGTTGAAACAGGGCCAATCATGCTAGAGAATAAACGGGACAATGCCTTGTATCTATTATTGTGTTTAAGCCGTTGGCCCAAATTGCACAAGTTTTAAATGGTTGACGGGGAGGAAGTTTTCTTTTTGGGGTGTGGCGAGAGGTCCTATTTCGTCAAATTCGTTCCCTTTGCAACACACAGCCAAAAACTCGTCTTCCCACTGGTAGAAGCTCGAAAGTCCCAAATTGCAAGTGAACGTTTTTCAAGTTTACAAGCTCCTCACCGTCAAGTTTTAATAGCTTGACCCACGCTAAGTTGCAATAAACGCTCAGGCCTCTTTGCGTTTAGCGGATATCCGCTTGCGTATACACGCAACACGCTATACGCAAGCGAATCCGCTATACGCTCGGCAAATTTGTTTTGGGGCAGCCCGGGCGGAAAAAAATAGAACATACGGAAAAATGCGGAATTTCACGACGTGCGTTTTGCCGAAGGCGAATTGCACGAATGTGACTTGTCCAATTGTGGACGTGGCTTTTTGCAGAACGCGAATTGCACATACGTGACTTGTCCAATCGTGGACGTGGGTTCAACCCACGTAGTCGAGATTGGTTGTGTCAATTTGTCAAGTCGTGTTTTCACGTACACACTTTGTGCGCTCTGTTTGTTATCGCATTGAATCCCCTCCCATCTACTCATTCCAACCAAATGTCCCAATGTTCCCTTCTCTCGTTGTGCTACTTAGTGGGCTGCAAGCAACTACGCAATTCATCAGTTCCCCGTCTCTTTCGTAATGTCTAGCCCGCCATGCACACCGCCATCCGTTCAGACAATGCAGAGTTCTCGGATTGTTCGACCTGAGGGTAGGGATTACCTTCATGACATGCCGGAACACGCTGTCTTCAAACATTTCAGCCTCATTGTGCGGGAAGAAGGCAAAGCACAGCAGTACGAGTGTAAGTACTGCTTGAAATTTTTCACCGGTGCAGCCATTCGTTGCGCGCAGCACCTGATCTCGTGGAAGGGAATGAAGCGTCGCGAGGTGACGCTTTGCAAGGAGGCACCGCAAGACGTACGCAACGAGATGCGCACCAAATACGAAAAGATGGCTGCCGCGATCGAGGAAAAGCGCCGAGCAACATCTGCTGCAGTTGCGGCAGTACAGGCTGGCGGAGGGAAGCGGCGCATAACCGACTACTTGGAGGGAGATGCCTCTGCGGCTTAGCGGGATGCTCACGAGGGCCTTGCGCTGATGTTTGCGGCCTGCAGAATCCCGGAGGTCACCATGGACCACCCGTTGTTCATCAACGCCATACTGCTCGTCAACCGCGCCGGCAACGGCTACGTCCCCCCCAGGAGGACTTTCATTGGCGGGGCTGGACTGGTCGCTGTCCGCAAAGGGATTGAGCAGGGGCTGATGGGGATTAAATCGAGCTGGAAGAAGACGGGGGTAACAATTGCGTCCGACATGATGACGGACAAATGTGGGAGGGCGCAAGCGAACGTGCTTCTGATCAACGACTCCGGCACCGTTTTCAGGGAGGCGATCGACTGCAGTATGGAGCAGAAGACGAGGGGATACATAGCGGGGATTCTGCAGCCGGTGGTGGAGGAGGTAGGACCAGAAAATGTCGTCGCGTTTTGTATGGATGGGGGGTCGAACTATGCCGTGGCTGTCCAGGAGCTGATTGCCAAGTGGCCCCACATTCAGCAGGTCCCTTGTGCCACGCATGTGATGGATCTCCTCCCGGAGGACGTGGGAAAGATGGGGTGGGCAAAAGGGGTGGTGGATCGGACTGGGGAGATGAGTTCGTTCGTTCGCAACCATCATTGGACGCGCGCTTACCTGAGGACCAAGGAGTTGGTGGAGGGGAAGGCGCTGCAGCCGCTGAAGCCAGCGGGAACACGGTTCGGGACACAATACATTGCTGTGTCCCGCCTTTGTCAGTTGCGTAGCACCCTCAACGTGATGGTGCTTTCCGACAGGTGGAAGGAGTGGGCCTCGGGGTCGCGGAAGGAAACTGCCGAGGCCTTTGCTGCACGGGTCCTCGATGACGCATGGTGGCGGACGGCAGAATTCTTCTGCAAGCTGATGCAACTGCCCTACAAGGCGATGCGGCAGACTGACGCAGATGCCAATGGGATGATGGGCCGGCTCTACGATGTAATGCTGCAGCTTACCGAGGATGTCAACAACATCCTGGACGAGGATGAGCAGCAGCTGAGTAGCGCGGACAAGGAAAAGATCCGCAGCATCATCAAGGACCGCTGGGATAACAACCTCGCCTGCGCCATGCACGTTGCTGGCCGAATCCTCAACCCCGCCAACCAAGAGGAGGATATCTTTGGCAGCGATGCCGAATGCACCTGGGTTTTCAAGGCGTTAATCAACCAGCACGTGGAGTTCCTCATCGGCCACGACGGGAAGGGGAGGGATGAGGGTCCAGATTACTTGCTTGCCTTGGGTGACGGGCTGAGGGCTTTCTTGGACATGAAAGGCAGTTTTGGGATGCCGGAGGCGCTTGCACAGAGGGAGAAGGTGAAGGCGAGTAAGTACAGCATGGTGAAGTGGTGGCAGTGGAACGGCACAGATGCACCTCACCTGATGCGCTTCGCCGTGAGGGTGCTATCTCAGCCTGTATCGGCATCCCCTTGTGAGCGTGGTGGGGAACTTGGGATGCTGTCCACACAGCCCGCCGGAACCGCCTCGGATCTGCAAAGTGCCAGGACCTGGTTTTTGTTGCGCACAACTGGAATGTTGTGCGCAACTGGCACTCGACTTTTGAGTCGACTCAAAAGTCAACTCGCTACAATGTCACACAGTGTGTTTTCTACACGGAGAGCAATCGTCGCTTGGAAGTTACATAAAAGAGTTGGAAATTATTTGATTTCTGCTCATAAGAGTTAGTGTGGTGTAGTGTTTGTTACAGCCCTATAGTACAGCTTCTCCCTGGCTCAGCGAAGGAATGCCTCGCGTGGAGCCCTCGGGATTAGTATATTAGCTCTAGTTTGCTCCTTTTTTCCCTTGTGGTCTGAAGAAGGCTATAAGCCGAAACCGGTTACCGCCAAATTTCTCTACAAGAGATTTTCAAGCAAGCATTTTAACTAACAACCTTTTTTACAAGTTGAATCAGTCACAGCCACGTAAAGACATGGCTCCTATCTGGGGCTCCATTGGACTTACGAAAGATACATCTACGATGGCCGACTACAAATTCAACGCAACAAAACAAACCAACACCAACGCTGACCAAGCTCCTGAAATTGTGAGACCCCTGAGAACATCGCGAAGAACTGCGAACTTCAACACGGGTACTCCCAAGAATAAAGAGCCGGTCAGCTCGGAGGATTTCTCATTCGAAACTCCTTCGGCTTCCAGACCCAGCAAAAGGAGAGCTCTCGACACTCCAGCAGCTACTCTAGCAGGGACTACTAACGCTCCAGGAATTACACCTATCGCCATGGCTACTCCCATTGTCAAGGCTACGGTCCCTGGACAGGAAGCGGTGCATAATGTTCAAGACGTTCAGGACGTCAGCGACACTGTTATGACTGACGCTCTTGATTTCTTCGGAGAATCTAACACCTCTTTTCTGGAGAAGCAAGCTACTCCGACTCATTTGAATACGCTTAAGCAACAAGCGATTGCTAATTTCAAGAAGCATTTTTCCAAATACCGGACTCTGCGTCAGCAATATAACTTCATGGAAGAGCAGAAACGGAACGGGATCATTCCCCACTCTATCCGGATCAAGCCATTTAACTTCGTCTGCAATACTGAAGATCTTCGTCAAGAAGCAGATAAGAACCTGGAAGCGGCTCGTCTGGCTTATTGCCATAATGCTCAGGACATCATGATTGCCATGAAGAAGAAAGCCACGAATAAGGCTCTCAGCGATGCTTGTGCCGTCAATCTGTCTCTGCAACACCACATTGACAATTTCTTTGATCTTAACAAGAAGTCCGACCTCGGCCAGATCAATCCGAAGCTGATCGAGAGCCTGGATTTTTTCAATAACAGGGTGTTGCTAGAATTTAAGCGTGCAGTTTTTGTTGTCTATAACGAGACTAACATGGCTGAAATTCTTCTGAAGCAGAAAAACGACGACATTAATGCTAAGAAAGCAGCTGCAGTTGCAGAAGCAGAGAGCTTACCTGTTGACCCTACTGTTCGGAAAATCGCTCGTCAAGAAGCGGAGAAAATCCTGAAGCAGTCCTCCTCCTGTAAGACTCCGGTTAAGAGGGTGAATGGCAACGGCAACAACGGTAAAAACAAGAAGGTTAAGGCCTCTGTTCCTTTTAAGTATAAGACTAACAAGCCCGGTGTCAATGTCAGGAGTGCTGGTCATAAGAAATCTACTTCACCCAAGGCTGGGAAAGATACTCGCAGCTCCGGCTCCAATAACACCAACAAACCGAAGCAGACTGCTGCTGCTACTACTAAGAAGAAGATCACTCACCCTAAGAGGACTGTTGCTGATGATGAGCAAGCCGCGTTTAAGACTGTCGGTCGCTCCTTTGCTAAGACCTCTGGACGCAACGCCTCCGCCCATACTGGGAAAGCAACTGCATAAAAAAACGGGGGAGGTGGAGGCCGCAGAAAAACACAGACACGTTAGTTGGTGACGTACATACCTATGCAGTGATCCTCTTCGGCAGACAGACGGAGTATCAGCTGCAATGCCGTGTCACGAACCGCGGTCTTCACAACTACAGTGATCATACGTTTTCACCGAAAGAACT